ACTGACAAAGCATGGGCACTTGTGGAATGAGTGGTCATGATGGCTGGAGGCAGAACGTTCACCTGCTCGTAGCAAGCTCGGATACAGGTGGTTATCCAAGACAAAATTCTTTGGGTTGACGTGGGTAGCCCTCTCATCCTTTCTGCCACTGCTACAAAGAGTTGCATGGACTTGCGGAAGGGCTTAGTTCTCTCAATATAAAAGGCAAGGGCCTGCCTACTATCCAACATATGAAGCTGACATTCCTCAGAGGTCTTGCGAGGTTTTGGGAAGAAGACAGGTAGAAAAATGACCTGGTTGCTGTGGAATTGCGACGCCATCTTTGGTAGGAAGGCCAGATGGGGGCACAGTTGGACCTTGTCCTTGAAAAACACTGTGTAGGGTGGTTCTGATATGAGGGCTTTGATCTCAGAGACCCTGCTGTCCAAGGTGATTGCCACCAGAAGGACAACCTTCCAGGAAAGAAGCAGTAGGGACCAAGATGCTAATGGCTCGAAGAAGGATGCGTGAGCTTCAACAGGACCAGGTTTATGTCTCATGGGGGGCTTGGTTTGTGAACCTGAGAATAGAGTCTTTCCTTGAGAAATTGGACTATCATCTCATGGGAGAAAACTGATCTGCAACTTACTGGAGGGTGAAAGGCTGATATGGGCACTAAATGAACTTTAATAGATGTGTGTGCCAGACCTTGCTGCTTTAAGTGGAGCAGACAGTCCAAGATAGACTGAAGAGAAGATCGAGATGGAGAAAGACCCCAGTCAGAGGCCCAACAAGTGAAACATTTCCACTTGGCCAAGTAGGTAGCCCGGGTGGAAGGCTTTCTACTACCTAGCAAGACCTGTTCCGAGCATGCCTGTTCTTCAGGGTTCAGCCATGTGGCATCCATTCAGTCAGGTGCAGGATGGCGAGGTTCAGGTGAAGCAGCTGGTCATGGTCTTGAGAAATCAGGTCTGGGTAGAGTGGGAGCAAAAGTGGAGGTGCCACTGAGAGTTCCAGGAGAGTGCTGAACCAATGTTCGCATGGCCACGCTGGGACTATCAGAGTAACCCTCACCTTGTCCCACTTGATTTTTAGGAGGACCTTGTGAACCAAGGAGATTGGGGGAAAAGGCATAGAGGAGCTCGTCTGCCCATGACAGCAGGAAAGCTGTCCGAGAGAGAGCCTGGGCTATGTCTGCACAGTGAACAAAACTGGTGGCATTTCCTGTTCTGCTTGGTAGCAAACAGGTCCATCTGGGGAGACCCCTGCCTCTGGAAGACGGATCTGGTAAGCTCCAGGTGAAGGGACCTCTCATGGTGAGAGGAAAAGATCTTCTGAGATGATCTGGCAGCATGTTACAGGCTCGCAGGAGATGTGTTGCCTCAAGGTGAATGGCGTGTTTCACGCAGAAGTCCCAAAGCCAGAGGGCCTCCTGGCACAAGGGCGAAGATCGGGCCCCTCCCTGCTTGTTGATGTAAAACATGGATGCGGTGTTCTTTGTTAGGACATGCACCACTTTGCCTGAGATCTGGGGAAGGAACATTTGGCAAACTAAGTGCACTGCCCTGAGTTCCCTGACATTTATATCTAGGGAGAGTTATTCTTTCTGAGATTGTTGAGGTGGGCTCCCCACTGTAGGTCTCACATGTCCGAGACTAAGGCTACTGACGGTTGATGGGCAACAAAAGGTACCACCCTCATTACCAATCCTGGGTCTTTCCATCAGTCCAGGGAAGTGAGGACTAAAGGCGGGACCGTGCTTATTGAGTCTAAGTGGAGTCTGCTCATGGAGTAGACTGATGCCAGCAACAACTGGAAAGGCCTGAGGCGCAGCCTTGCATACTGTACCACTTGAATATATGCTGCCATGTGTCCCAATAGTTTGAGGCAGATCTGAGCAGTCGTTATTGGGTGGACCGTGACCTCAGATATCAGATCCGGCAGGAATGCTCTGGCTTGGGTCAAGTCAAGCACTGCCCCGATTAACTCTATTCTCTGAATTGGGACCAGAGTTGACTTTTTCTCATTTATCAGCAGACCCAGCACCTGGAAGGTGGCCTGGATTGTACTGATGCTGTGCCGTACATGAGCCTGCGACCGACCTTTGGTCAGCCAGTCATCGAGGTATGGGTAGACTTGCATGCCTCGGCGCCTGAGGAAGGCTGCTACTACCATCATACACTTTGTGAAGACCCCTATGGCTGCTGATAGGTGGAAGGGGAGAGTAGTTAATTGATAGTGGCGTTGACCCACTACAAATCTGAGGAATCTCCTGTGACCATGGAAGATAAAGATGTGGAAATAAGCATCCTTTAAGTTGAAGGCGGTGTACCAGTCTCCTGGATCCAGGGAGGGAAATGATGGAGGCCAAGAGACAATGCAAATATCTCAGTTTCTTCAGATATCTGTTGAGGCGATGCAGGTCCAAGGTCCAGAATGGGCCATAGGCCCCCTTTGGCATTAGGAAATACCTGGAGTAAAACCCCTTCCTTCTTGTCTCAGGGAACTTCCTCTTCGGCCCCCACATTTCGGAGGGATTGCACCTTCTGGGCAATGAGTTGCGCATGAGACAGGTCCCTGAAGATGGACTGGGGTGGGGGGTGGGACAGTGATGGATGAAAATTGAAGGGTGTAACCGGACTGCTACTGTACTCAGGACCCAATGGTCCGACGTTATGTATGACCACGATGGGCCGAAAACAAAGGAGGGAGCGGATCTGGATTGGAGACTGGTGTAAAGCCCTCGGGTGCACCTTCAAAAGGCCTGCTTGGCTCCACCGGAGTATCTGTGAGAGCCCGATTGGAAGGCTTAGGTGGAAGGGTGGGGTTGGCATCATTTGTAACCCTTCCCATTTCTTTTGTAGGGCTCCTGCCTGGAAGGCTCCACAAACCTGGAAGGCTGCTGGGGCCTAAAGTGCTTCCGGGAAGCTAGTGACGTGTAAAGGAAGGAAGGAAGGGCAGCCCTCGAGTGCTTCAGGCCATGAAGTTTCAAGTCAGTCTGCTCTGAAAACAGTGAGGAGCCTTCAAAAGGGGAGGTCCTGGATGGACTGCTGAACTTTGTGACATAGGCTGGAGCCATGAACAACACCTCATGGTGATTGCAGATGCCATAGTCCTGGCCACCGAGTCGGCCATATCCAGAGCTGCCTGGAGGGAGGTTCTGGCCACACTCTTGCCCTCCTCCAGGATGGCCATGAACTTCTGCCTCAACTCCCGTGTGAGGAAGTCCTTAAATTTGGACAATGAGTCCCATAGATTAAAATTGTACCTCCCCAGCAAAGCCTGCTGGTTGGAGATACGTAACTGGAGGTTGCCTGTCGAATAAACCTTTCATCCAAAAAGGTCTAGTCTCTTAGCGTCTTGATTCTCGGGGGTAGCACTTGACTGCCCCTGCCTGTCCCGTTCATTTGTGCCGACACTTCCAAGGACCCTGGGGGTGGGCAAATAAAGGTATTTGAACCCACTTGCCAGTACACAGTATTTCTTCTTTGCCCTCTTTGAGGTGGGGGGCAGAGAAGGAGGAGTCTGCCACAGCATTTTGATGGGTCCCATCACTGCTTTGTTGATGAGCAAGGCCACTCTGGAGGAAGAAGCTGCGGCCAGAATATCGATCCAGTTGTATGCTGACTCCTTAAACTCCTCAACCTCCAGATCCAGCTTTGCGGCAACTCTTTTCAGGAGGTCCTGGTGGGCCCTGAAATTGTCTTGAGGGAGCAGGCTACTAGGTCCTGCAACCGCCTCATCTGGATAGATGAGGAGGAGGAGGGGCTCCCGCCTCTTCCTCTGTTTCCACCACATCCATTGGGGCCACCTTCTGGACATCGGCAGCGGGATCAGTACCAGAGTCAGGGTCCGGTGCTGAGCGGGAAGGGCCGGTAGCCTGACTTTCTGAAGCCACTGAGTATGAGTGGTGGGAAGGTGGGCCAGTACCAGGGGAAACTCCCAAGGGTTCCAGTACAGCCATTGCATCGGTATGGAAGTCCAGTGGAGAGTAGGTTTTGGGTGGACAGAAACATTCCTCTTCGGACTGTGAAGAGGAGTAGTATCTGCTTCTGTCTCCAGGCGGTGTCAGGCATCTGGGGACCGGCGGCAGATTGATGATCACTATGTCAGGATCATGGAGGGCTTGTCCCTAGAAGGTGCCTAGATGGCCGGTGCCAGGAAGGAGCTCGACGCTCCTTCCTCTCTCCTGTCTTTTGCCATCTTGGTTGACGGGGGTCCTTGCAGAGTTGGCAGGACCAGAGGAGACAGCGTGTCCTTTGCTGCTTGGAAAGCCTCCGGGGTTGAAGGAACCAGAAAACGTCTGGTCCTGTGGCTGGCTGCAGGAGTTGGTGGTGGGTCCCGAACTGGATTAGGCACTCTAGGTGGAGTCGGTGGTGCCATCACTGGCTTGGGGGAGGACAAGTGGCCCAACACGGCATATACCAGCACATATGCGCGTGACTTCAGGGGGCGTTAGAGATAGCCCAACGGATACTACTGAGGGAAAAAATCTCCAGCACCAGTGCCTGTGGCATGCGCACACCTAGCATGGAATGGAAGCACTCGAAGAAAGTGCCATTTTACAGTCACTTTCTGAGTAGCATCACGTAAAAATCCATCAGCATTCCATACTAAGTATACAGCAATACAAAAATCCCAGCTCATGATGTGCAAACAACTCTGCATTAACATTGTGCATCAGCAACACCTACCTTCACTACTGCCTCCAATATTAGCAAAGAAAGGACTAAAGCTGAAAAATCTAGGTCTGATCGTGGAAGGATGAACAAATTAATTTAAAAACCCAAACAAATCAGTTTCTTAAGTTTCTAGTGTAACATTTCTCAGACTAATTAGAGATTTTAAACTGTCTGACTTCATTGTCAGATATTAACATACACTTATTTTATATTACTACATTTACACATATACACTTCACCAAAAGAATATTTTATTTAAAAAAAATCGAAGTTCATCAAGTATTAAAGTTAACTTTTCAAAATTTAACACATTTGTGCTAAAATTTCACAGTTGTTAGAAACATGACAATTATATATACTTCATCTGAATTCAAATTTTAGTGAGTCTTCTGATGCAGATCTAACCAAAGAAGAAATAATCTAACAGTATTACAAAACTTGTTAGAAAAAAGGAAAATAAAACCCTAATACTTGATTACAAAAGCATCTGAAACCACTTTTAATTCAGTATTCAGACAAAAATGCAACTTACTAATATTTGCCGGTTACCCAAGATGTTTTGGGTGTATGTGCTGTGTGTAGATATTTTGCATCATTCTTTATTTAGCTTGCAAACTATTATTTGAAGCTCTTCAGCAGCTGTTTATTATTATGCAGATAGATTTCTCTTTTCCGTCCCTACGTTGGCAATGACTGAGAACAGTAGGAAGGCCAGGCACAGAATAGGAGAGGGAACCAGAAGGTGCTCTCCATATGAAGCATTCATGTCTTCATTTGGGTTCTTATTTCAGGAGTAGCCTAAGAGGAAAGCTGATGGGCTGAGTAGCAAATACAAGGAGAAAGACTACTTAAGCTTACTAAACCCCTTTTCTTCTACTCACTCAAAAAAAAATATTAAATACAGCTGCAAGTGTTGTATTTTTCACACGTAATAATTTCTTGATTTACAGTATCTGTTAACTATCTCAATAAAGAAACTAATGAACATTAGTTTTAATCTGCATTATTACATTATAATGAATTATTTCACATGATCTTGGAATGGTTCTTAAAAGAGATTTAAAGATATCATACAGAGAACACAATTTTGGAGCTTTGATTAGACATTTGTTCTAATACATAATCCACAGTATAACAAAAATACAAATACTGCTTCTGAAGTTCATGCTACAAATTCGTTCCCCCTCCCTTCTTTTAGCATTACAAAGTCCTATAGAAGTTTAATGAGGGGCTCCATATGTGTTTATTGTATATGAGTCATGGTTTTGTTATCCTGTTCAGCGTCCCAAGAGCCCTAGTATGTGGGGTGCTATTAATAAATTATATTAAAAGGAGCATTCATTAAGCAGTTGCAAGGACAGTCCAGCTGCATAGTAAGTTGGCATTTTGGTGTCCCTGGCTACCACTCGGCCAATGATGGCCAGAGGATTTACACAAGAAACTCCCATCATCATCCTTAATGAGAGTTACACCCAAATTTCCACTGCCATAATGGGAAAATATATTCAGGGCTGGTTAAAACTGAGCAGATCCTAGAAGTGCTGAAATAAGAGGTAATGTTGCTCTAAGATCTTTGCTTATGGAGTAACGCCACTGTTTCTCCTTCCTGATGACTGCTTCCCACCCTATTTTGTCAGCATGAAGGCAAAGAGCTGGAAATGTAAAAGCCTAAGTATTAGCCAACAGGAATGGAAGAAGTGAGTTTTAAACTGTGGTTAGTATTTCTGAACACAGAAATGCGCTCATGCAATGAAAGTTTAGAATAAAGCATACACTGACAAGTGCAACTGCTAATGGAAATGAGTAATGATAATTTTTTCTTACTGGAAAAAAAGCAAATTCAGCATTTGAAGTTATATTATGCTAACAAATAGAAATTCACACAAGACCTACATGTATGCAGTTCAAAATGCCCATAGCACCAAGAGTCAGTTTTTTCTTTAGCATATACCCATTGCCAGCAATGTGTGTTGAGCTCCAACGCAATAAGAGAAGTAAGTCTGTCTTCCTTCCTTTCAGTTAGCTTCAGCATTACTAGGTTTTTCTTCTAAACCATCTTCATACTTATCATCCTCACATTCCACAACATCCTCATCATCATGATCACTGAGAGCTTGCCTTCTCCTCTTCCTCCTCCTCCTCACAGGATTGGTCAGACTGTGAGCTTGCCTTCTCCTCTTCCTCCTCCTCACAGGATTGGTCAGACTGAGAGCTTGCCTTCTCCTCTTCCTCCTCACAGGATTGGTCAGACTGAGAGCTTGCCGTCTCCTCTTCCTCCTCCTCACAGGATTGGTCAGACTGTGAGCTTGCCTTCTCCTCTTCCTCCTCACAGAATTGGTCAGACTGTGAGCTTGCTTTCTCCTCTTCCGCCTCCCCACAAGATTGGTCAGAGTGAGGATTTGCCTTCTGCCCATCACAGGATTCTCTTTCTTGAACTTTATCTTCATTAAGACTAAAAAAATGAAGATTTGCATTTATTGATCGGGGGGGGGGGTTTAAAAATCGGTTTTAAAGGAATAAAACTCTCAAGTACTCTGGCCCAAATCCTGCCAATAAGAGTCAATCTCTCCAGGTTGGGGGGGAGGGGGTTATTTACTATGGGTAGAGCCCCCTGTTTTTCACAAATGCAAGACAACATGGAATAGAAACAAACTCACTCTGCAGCAGCAGCTCCTGTCCCATGAGGTTGAGCCCATCTGCCTGCTCTGGAAGTTGCAACCTGGTACACGGGGTTGCAGCACCACTCACACAAATTTGGCCTGGCCACGCCTCCTGACAAAGAGGCAGCCAGGCCAAACCTGAGCAGCGCTGCGACCTTGTGCACCAGGTCGCAATGCCCGGAGCGGGAGCTGGGCCCAGCTTCCCAGGACAGGAGCCGCCACCGTAGGGTGGGCTCACATTCTGCAGCCCCCTTCCTAGAGGCGGAACCCAACCCCCCCAGGATTTCCACCCCTTCCCTCCCTGTCCCCCGGATGTGGATAAAAAGAAAACATTAAACTCTTGAAAACTAAAACAAAAAATTATAAAATATAAGAATTTCAGGGGCTTTAACAATGGGGAGAAGGCCTCCTCTCTCTACACTGCAGAGCAGCTGCAGTAGCCTCCCCATGCTGCCTGTGTCCCCATCCTGCAGGAAGCAACAGTCTCTGGATCTCAGTAGTGGCAATGTAGGACACATTATAGACCTGGCCGCCCTGCACAGCCCCCCAAATCCCAGCAACAGCTGTGCAGAGTTGGCAAATATATTTTATCCAAGCATTTAATGAACATTTGAAAAGTCAACACTTTTAAAATATTTATTTTTATAAAAAACACCCCAACAACATTCTATTAAAAAAACAAAACAAAAAAATCTCTCCCCCTAGCAATCTGCCAGAATTTCTGGCAAAGGTTCAGAAATAAAACTTAAACGGGGAGAAAGAGCATGTATTTTTTTTTAAATGTGCATTAAGTTATATACCCCATGTTAAAATATTTAAGAGGATCTTGTATTACAAATTTACTGTGTGAGCATATCATTTTCATTGTCTTTTGTGAATTAAACTTTTTATAGAAACACTGACACTGTTAAAATGAAAACTACACCTCTACCCCGATATAACGCTATCCTCGGGAGCCAAAAAATCTTACCGCGTTATAGGTGAAACCATGTTATATCGAACTTGCTTTGATCTGCCGGAGTGCGTCCCTCCCCCCCCCCGGAGCACTGCTTTACCGCGTTATATTCGAATTCGTGTTATATCGGGGTAGAGGTGTATATGCAGCCAAATAGTTACCTCCAAAATACAAATAATTTTGTCTTCTAAAACTAAAACAAAACTTGCTATCACTAGGTGTGTAACCACCACAACAAACTACTGGTAACTATTACCTTTCTCTGTCTTCAGTGCAGCTTCCAAAGCCTTTAGCATTGGGCTGGTCCAGCAATTTAGCAGTTTGACTTTTTTTTGAAAGGAAGTCCTCACAAATCCCCAGTTCTCTCAGTATATCAGAGTAATGCTTTTCTGCTGCTATTCTGGCATTTTTCTATATAAAAAAAAATTACAGCATTCTAAAAATTAATGTTTTATTAAGGGCCAGATTCCAATACCCTAAATTAGGTTGCATAGTACCTTATGCCAGTTGCTCTCAACCTTTCCAGATTACTGTACCGCTTTCAGGAGTCTGATTTGTCTTGTGTACCCCAAGTTTCACCTCACTTAAAACTATACTTAGAAACTACTTGCTTTCAAAATCAGACATAAAAATACAAGTGTCACAGTACACTATTACTGAAATATTGTTTACTTTCTCATTTTTACCATATAATTATAAAATAAATTAATTTGAATATAAATATTGTACTTATATTTCAGTGTATGGTAAGTATATAGAGCAATATAAACAAGTCATTGTCTGTATGAAATTTTAGTTTGTACTGACTTTGCTAGTGCTTTTTATGTAGTCTGTTGTAAAAGTAGGCAAATATCTAGATGAGGTGATGTACCTCTTATGCCTGAGCCCCTGGAAGACCTCTGAGTACCCCCAGTGGTACGCATACCCCTGGTTGAGAACACTGCCCTGCACCATCGTAATCCCCTCAAATTCAGTGTGATACTCAGTGTGAATATGAAATGGCAGAATTTCTTTTAGAGCACTATTGAAAAGTTCACAGACCTGCGATCCTGCCAGTAAAGCCTGTGTAAGAGGGCTTTGCCCAAGGGAAGGGCACAGAGGTTGGGTGGGATAGAGTCTTCCCTTCCAAACCCACATGCATAGATAGCCCAAGGCAATGGCCCAGACAGGCCTGATCAAAAGATATCACCTGCTGCTCTCTCTGTGGGTTTGTGACCCTGTTGAACTGTGCTGTGCATGGACCCACACCCTCAACATGCCCACATACATCTTTCTCCTGTGTTATAACATAGCATATTTTATATATATATATATATATATATATACCATATTCCATAGCTATGAGGAGCCTCTGCTGCCTAACTCTCTTTGCAGCAGAAACATGCTGTTTCTGCTGTATTTTGAGTTTTTCATGCCATCAGAAATGGGGCAGAGATGTAAGATTTGCTCCTCAGTGTCAAGAATACATAGAGAATGTTCTGTAATGTACTGTAGGGTTATGGGGTAACATTACAAACAGGATTAAATTATCAAGCACCGTTATATTCTGAACTCCTTGTCTGGCAGTATTACTCATACACTCCACAAAGGGCACAGCAACACCTCTAGCCAATGACAATTCCATTTGGGACAACAGAGGCTTGAGTGCGGTACATATTAAGTAAGTCAAATCCTCGTGCCATTTAGGCTGGACCATAATCTGTTAGGATGGATTTTATTTGTATGGTGAGATAGCAGTGAGGAAAATATGCTTTAGTTCATACAAGCGGAAAAAGCCCCCACACTCATTGCTTCTTCAGGCCTCCAGAGATTATTTTATGTCACAATCGATCATTTAATTTCTGCATATTTGTATTTCTAGTTTTAATAGTAGTAGTTTCCCTTCAAACAAACCTTATGAAACATCCAATCAGTACTGCTGGCTAGTTCTTACTGTGATGCCTCCAGCATAATACACTTATCTGTTCTAATGACAGTCAGGTCTGTTTCATAAGTTGTTCATGGCAAGGGAAAGCTACTAAGCAGTAAATAGACCTCATTTAGACCTGAATTAGTTCTGGGACAGGACCCTTAATCAGCCACCCCCTTAATCAACTTAGAGATAAAGTTGTTCGTGTGCATTTCCTATAAATGTGATCATTAAAAATCCAGGAAGTCAGGTAAGCCCAGATACACCTCCACATCAACCTCAACTTACATGCCTCACAATGCATCACAATGTTCAAAGACACACAAAGAGCCTTCACTCCACAGACACGCACCTCTCAACTCCAGTCCATGGGTAAACACTTTTTCCTTTTAAATAAAGTGTTGTTAGTGAGACATCTTCCCAAGACACAAACCCTTAAAGGCAAGGAAATGCCAATTTACAAGATACCTCTTAACTGTGACCTAATGGCCATACAGCCCATTTTCATTGACGGTGACAAACTCTGCACTGCCACAGAGAACATCCTTCTGCCTCTAAGATACGGAAATCACTATACACATCACATTAATAATGCAAAACTTTAGTTACAACCTCAGTCACATTACCAAATATTCAGCATTCACATTCATGTGCAGGTTAAGTGCAAAGCATGTTATGTGTTTGTGGGAAAAATAATGAAGTCATAATTACAGTTTAATTACACAGTATCCCTTCTTCACCTCACACGCAAGCCAAAATGGAGGGGAAAAAATGTATATTTGGAAGATGGCCCACGCCTCTCTAAGCAGGCAGCAATGAGTGCTGGGCGCAATGCATGGTAATACAATTTTATTTTCATGGGGACAGATACCAGGCAGAGTTTTATAGTCAGAGGGGAACTGACATGCCTGCCTACAAAAGTTTTCAGACATCCTCTAAAAAATATTCAGCACTGACACTGGCATTGACTTAGGCAATATTCGGAGATGAGTTTAATTAAGGAATGAGAGCAAGGTAGGAAGACAACCTGAGTGGCTCTTTCCAAAAGCAATGGCCTCTGGTTTACTCTTTCTTCCATTTCTTCCCGCTCCTGCAGATACTCTTGCATTCTTTGCTTCTCATGTTTCCTATTATAAATATAGCATGACACAGAAATTAAATGGATTGTCTTTAGTTATTATTTATAGAAGTGGTAGCAGAAAGACCAGGCTATGCTACAAGATGCAACTTCCTAGAGTAACTGCAAATTACATTGCTTGTGACAGACAGAACATCGTGATGTTGTTTTTAAAGTCAAAATTTATGTATTTTACATTGGTTATGCGCCAGGTTAATTGCCTCAAGTTCTTTTACCACAGCAACCATGTACCTTTGACAGTGGGAAAACTAAAGAACATTTAATGTTTTTTGATGTAATCAATTTGGAAAAACAGGTAGATGTCCTTACAAATGAGTTTAAAAGCATAACTTCAGGGCTCTAACTTGTGCGCCCTTTATACATTTTAGGATTTTCAATTTATATTGAACTTCCTTTAATTGCTGCATTCTCATTTTGATAGCAATCCCATATAATTGTTTTTCTAAGAAAAGTTAAGAGACTGGAGGCTTTTGGAAGAGCTGGGGAAGTTAGAATATACCATGGAAGATTGGTACTTTAAGGAGTGTTAATATCTCTTACCAAATGTTTCAACTAATGAGAGTCCCACATCTTTCTTTTTTGTTTTGGTCTTAACATTTTAATTTATCTTTCAAAAACAGAAAAAGTCCAGGTGCCTTCCATTTTTAGTTGCAGAGCAGACATCTTTCCCATGTCATTTTTAAAGCATCCTACATATCTACAGAACTGTATAAACAACCACCTGTTAATGCTGCTATCATCTCCTCCATGTAATAGTAATAATAAATAATAATAATAATAATAATAATAATAATAATACTTAGCATAGATGACTAAAGATGTGCAACAATCTCAAAGTACACTGCAAATATTAATGAATATTCATTCATTCACCCTGCAAGAAAAAACTGTTCACCATTTTACAGAAGGGGAAACCAAAACCTAGAATTAAAAGTCACATGCCCAAGGTCACGCAGCAGCTTTGGACTAGAATCCACCTCTGCTGAGTCCCAGTCCTATCCTCTAACCACTAAGTTATAGCACCTTTCATAAGGACCCTCCCCCCCAGCAGTACTCTGATTCACAATCCATTAGAAAAAGGTCTCTGGCCTTGTCGCTGCCCACTCTCCTCTGCCTGCTCTACAAAGAAACACAACTGCTGCCTCCCCCATGCCTGCTTCCTGCATCCCATGCGCCTCCTGTTAAGCTATGGAGACACATACCAGAGTCATGTAATACATCTGCCCCACTTCCTGCTCTCATTAGATTTGACTCCCAAATCAGAGTAAAAAAGATATTTGCTCAGCAATCAGGAAGCAGAAGACACCTAATATAAAAACATAAATATGAAGTTAAATTTTAAAAAAGAAAGAGAAAACATGGTTGTCTTTTTCCTTGGTAATTTGAAAGTTGTAAGAGTGGAGTTAAAGCTGGAACTGTACTAGCTACACTTTAATTTAACAGTGTTTATTAGTGAGAACTCCTATTTCCCTCTTCAGATTATATGCAGGTTTAAAAACAAGCCTGCCTTGTTATTTGTGGTATAATAATTTAAGGAACAGCATATAAACCTGAATTCATCAAAATGGACACCAGTTCTCAATTCCCGATTGATCAAAATATTGTATTTGTTCATGCCCTTTTCTATCTAGAATTTTTGACAATGTCTAATTTATGACATACATGAATAGTTACATTAACATGGTTTATACTGTTACTGGATTGTATGTTAAACATACAACTTGCATCTAGAGGTTCAGGATTTTGGGGATATACAGAATACCTGATCATTTTTAATTTGGATTTAGACATCCGAGCTAGGCTCTGATGTGGGTCATTGGCCTCAGCCCGGGTTGTTATAAGTTTTTGCAGTTTTTTCACTCTTTGTTTCTGCTTTGCTCTGATCCTTTTTTGCTCTTCTTCCAGCTTTCTCTTTTCCTCAAGTGATTTCCTGAGTGGAAAAATAAACTAAGACTGAATTAATTTTAATCTAGAGAGAACATAAGGAAGGCTCTGTGAAAGGCAATTCAACAGAGAAGAGGAGGGAGGAAACAAGGGTGGGACAAGACAATGGAATATTTATGTTTCATTTGAGAAGTGGGGGCTTCAGGTATATATTGGGAACCAATAGGCTGTTATAGTCCTTTTCCTCAAATGTCTGTATGGGAAAAGAAAGTGTATTACAGCAGCTAGAAAACATCATCAAAAGATGAAAATAACCACTAGCAGTAATGAAAAAAACATGGAATTAAATATTTGGTGGCATAAACTAACAGTCTATGTTCTCAAGGATTTATAAATTAACTTGTACTGTATGTAACATATTACTGGACTATTCACCTTATAGCTTGTATTCTTCTTTTGGTAGACTCTGTGATTCTTGGAGATTCAGATTGCTCACGTCCCAAGGGAGATGAACTTGCACTTGAACACCTCATTTGAGGTTTGCATCTTGGAGAGGCGTATGGCCAGCGTGTTTCTTTTAATGTTTCTTCATCTGCTTGAATGTCCTGCAGAATCTTCCCTTTGTTGGATGGGATACGTGGAGTACGAAGATTGAAGGGTTCACAAACTGTGATGTGTTTCACATGTTTCTGTTTCAGGAGCCTATTCTGGAATTTTTGGTGCAGTGTTTCAAAGTCTGGAACCCTAGATTTGATCCTTGGTTTATGCTCCAGTTCTTCTTTCTGTTGATTGCACTTTTGTTTCCTCTGTTTATTGATAGTTCTACTAGCCAGTCTGCTGTTGGGAAGAGAAGAATTACGTAGCAACTCTTCAGCTCTCATTTGGATCCTAATTTCTCTATAGAGCTCTTCTTCTTTTAACTTATCATTAATGGCTGGACTGTAAACAGATTTAGGGACAGGTTTTGCTTGGAATAATTTTGTTTTCTTTTCAGGCAATGAAAGGTCTTTTAATTGCATTTTCCTAATTTCTTTCCTTTGCTCCTCTCTCCTGATAAACTGAAATGGTCTCTGAGAGGCCAAAAGAATATCTTTGCTTCTCTCTTTCACAAACTTCCTGCGTTCTTCATTTCTTTCCATTATTTCATGATAAAGCGGAAGGAAGACGGAAGCAGGCACAGGATTGGCTCTGAATTTCTTTTGACACTCTGCTTCTTCCTCTAGTTGTTTCTTCAATAAGTTATTTTCCGTTTCTATCTGTGACTTTGATTTGACATTCTGTTGTTTTTTCTTAGCTTCTCGAATAGTCATCTGGAAAGGCTTAGGCACAGTGACCTTTGGTGACCACTCTTTCTGCTTCTTCCCCATCATTTTGAATGTTGGTGAATTTGGTAAGCTACGTTTAGTGTGATAGACATAGTCGTCCACAGAAAACCCATCCCACATTTTTTCGATCTGCTCCTTAGCAAATGTCAGTGACCCAGTTTCACTACCATTTTCTTCTTCCAACTCTAATTCTGCATCAGACCCATCAGACAAACTTGAATAGGACAGATTATTTAAGTCAGGCTCAGAAAAAGATTTATGCAAATTCAGAGGCCGAAATGAGCTCTTATCCCATATTGATCTAAAAAAGGAAAAAAGTAGTTTTGGGTGTAACAGGTTTAATCTTGAGACAAAAGCCAACAATAAATCATTCCACTCTTTTTCCCCATCTGTAAATTGCAAGGCACTTTACCAAAGACGGTAAGCAGCATTACTCCACTTTTTGCAAGAGTGTAGAGGCTGGGCAGCATGGGATGGGCAGAAACTCATATTTACTATATGTGTGTACAGCACCTAGCACAACAGGGCCCTGACCTAGTTGAGGCATTAAGACACTACCACAATAAGTGTTTAAAAAAAAAGAACTCTATTTTAAGATCAACAACAATAACCAGATGCATCATCTCTGGCTGGGGCTGATAGTTCAAATACAGTCACTGAACAAAAACACTGACCCAGGAACCTATCCTTGTAACAAAGCCCGATGCCAACTCTCTCCACATATCTATTCAAGTGACATCATCATAGGACCTAATCACATCAGCCATACCATCAGGGGCTCGTTCACCTGCACATCTACCAATGTGATATATGCCATCATGTGCCAGCAATGCCCCTCTGCCATGTACATTGGCCAAACCGGACAGTCTCTACGCAAAAGAATTAATGGACAAAATCTGACATCAGGAATCATAATACTCAAAAGCCAGTGGGAGAACACTTTAACCGGTCTGGTCATTCAATGACAGACCTGCGGGTGGCTATCTTACAACAAAAAAACTTCAAAAACAGACTCCAACGAGAGACTGCTGAGCTGGAATTGATATGCAAACTAGATACAATCAACTTAGGATTGAATAAGGACTGGGAATGGCTGAGCAATTACAAACATTGAATTTATCTCCCCTTGTAAGTATTCTCACACTTCTTATCAAACTGTCTGTACTGGGCTATCTTGATTATCACTTCAAAAGTTTTTTTTCTCTTACTTAATTGGCCTCTCAGAGATGGTAAGACAACTCCCACCTGTTCATGCTCTTTGTATGTGTGTATATATATCTCCTCAATATATGTTCCATTCTATATGCATCCGAAGAAGTGGGCTGTAGCCCACAAAAGCTTATGCTCTAATGAATTTATTAGTCTCTAAGGTGCCACAAGTACTCCTGTTCTTTTTGCGGATACAGACTAACACGGCTGCTACTCTGAAACCAGTAAAAGCTTTGTTATCTGGCATGTTGGGAGAATGGGGGGTCCCGGGAAGTCAAAAATTCTGATTAACTAAGAGGGAGGGAGTTTGGGTGCAGGAGGGGGCTCAGGGCTGGGGGTTGGGGCACAGGAGGGGGTGCAGGCTCTGGGAGGGAGGTTGGGTGTGGGAGGAGACTTGGGGTAGGGGGTTGGGGTGCTGGATGTGGACAGCGCTCACCTCGGACAGCTCCCCACGAGCGGTAACATGTCCCTGCTGCTCCTAGGCGGAGGCGTGGCTAGGCGGCTCTGTGTGCTGCCTTCACTTGCAGGCACCGCCCCCCGCAGCTCCCATTGGCCACGGTTCCCAGCCAATGGGAGCTGCGGAGCCAGCGCTCGAGGCGAGGGCAGCACATGGAGCCCCCGTGGCCCTTCTTCCACCTAGGAGCAGCAGGAACATGTCGCCGCTTGCGGGGAGCCACGCGGAGCCAGGTAGGGAGCCTGCTAGCCCTGTGCTAACCGGACTATAAACCGGACTTTCAATGAAGATCAGAAATGCCAGTTTATAGAGCTTTCTGGTTGGTAAAGTGCCGGGTAACACAGCTTTTACTATATATTGAAAACAGCTTAGAACTAGGGTCATTAAGATATTTAGCAGTGATCTACAACAATCAGAAGATAATTTTATTACAAGATTTTGGGTCCAACTACTCTACAAGAAGCCCAAATAAAGGGCATCAGTTTTAATCAGTTTTTGCCGGGGCAGAAGACATGGTTCTAGAGAACAGTATTTTAGACAAGTCTATATAGAACTGTTTTAGCAAAGTAGCAAGTTTCTTTTCACATTGTGTATCGGGCCACAGGCAATATTTCATTCCGAAATGTATTATAGAAGAGATGCTGTAAATAGCATTGTTAATAGCAAAGAGCCTTACTGTAAAACAGAGGTCCCCAAACTGTGGGGCACGGCCCCCTAAGGGAGCAGGGGGGAGTGTTCAGGGGGCCTGGCAGGCCTAGGCCAGCCCCCATGGAGTGCAGGGAATGAGCATCACCCAGCCCCGCCAGCAACTCTGCTCCGGGCCCATCCCCAGCCACGGCCTCGGCTCCCGTCCCCACGCCTGGCCCCGTCCCCAGCCTCAGCACAGCTCCGCACCTGGCTGTGGGCCCAGCAGCTGGCTCCCACCGCAGCCCAGCTGTGGCTCTGTTTCCAGACCCGGCTGCAGGTCGACCCCCCCAGCCCTGGCCCCCTTACCCCTGTCCATGACCCTTCCCCCCCTGCCCCAGGAGTCACAGTCCCGCTCCCAGCCGGAGGGGGCGGAGGGTGAGGGGGCGGGGTGGCTGAACAGGGGTTAGGAAGGTTGCTACCCTGAAAAGCTTGGGTACTACTGCTGTAAAAACAAACAAGTCCTCCATCCAGAGTCTGCATGTGGTTTAAATATTCAAGATTAATATAACATATGGCTGTGCTTGCAAATAGAGAAGGGATATCACTTGAAAGGCAAGAATAATATTTGATAGGATTTGGTTCTTGTTTCCTAAGAGACAGAATTGGAGGAGAAACATGATGGCTAGACAGAGGAATGGGAGTCAGTATTCACTGTGTGCCCTTGGACAAGTGACTTTAACCTCACTTCCTCATCTATAGAATAGGGATAATGTCTATCCCGCCAAAGGAAGTTGTGAGGCTTACTTAATACTTGCAAAGTGTTTTAAGATCTTTGGATGAATGATGATCTGCCATTCTTACTGTGTGGCCTTGAGGGAGTCACTTATACCTTGATTTTCAGATGTAAATTCAATGGAAGCTAAGGGTATTCAGCACCTTTGAAAAATAGGTCATTAGATTTTCTGTGCCTCAGAATCTACATGTGGAATGAGCATAGTAATACTTCCCTGCTTCAGAAGAGTGCAGTGTTCATTAATATTTTCAATGTGCTTTGAGATCATCTGGGTGTGCATCTCAGTTCATCAGATCCCTGCCATTACAGGGACCTTGGGCATTGGTGCACCTTGGTCCCTCCTGTTCTTTGCCTGTGGTTCACAATACTTTAATCTCCTGAGGATTGTAATACTTTGGTCTAATTCTGGTTGTTGCTCATAGTGTGAAGGTGTCTGGGTGGTATTAGTGGCCTGGCATATACAGGAGATCAGACTAAATGAGCTGGTAGTCCCTTCTGGCCATGAACTCTAAGCTCAGATTAAAAGCAATACAGAAGCAGAGATAATTATTAAACTTACCTATAACACAAACTGGGAGCAGCATCCTTATTGTCCAGGGGCTGTACTCCTTTCAAATGCAGCTTATTCTGATACATGTTTTCCAGTTTTGCCATTGTCTCCAGGTGGGCATTCTTCAGCTCTTCCAGCTTCAAGTAATATTCCTGATTTGAGTGGCACATTTTGGGAAAGTCTATCCAGTCCTCACAGTCCCCACTTACAGTGGGGCTTTGCTGTCTCTCAGTATTATTACAGTCCAAGTCAAAATCATCCTAAAAAATAAGGAATTGAATTATTTTCCTTCTAACCATAAGAAAAAAGTTAGTGACCAGCAAGCAGTTTGCTTAGGTAACAGGTGCTGCATTACTCAACAGACATACATTCCTTCCCCCAAAGTGAGGAAGAGCTTCAAACTTTTGTGCCTAAATAGCCTCTTATCACTACATCTCCAGAATCGTATGCTGAGCGCTGTGAAGTGTTGTCCCACGCCAGTTATGCACAGTCAGTAGCTTTTGTATAGCTTCCTCATCTTTCCCCCCCCTTGAAAATATTTTGAACCCTAATCTATAGCACATTTTATTAAAACAAGATGTTACACAGTTAAATCTTGTCTGCACTAGCCAAGGAAACAATTCTGGCTCTTTTCTAGTCAGAAAAACTCATTGACCATAGTTCTGAGATAAAGATGCCAACACCATTTCTCTAGCTAGCATAGACAGGGGCTGTGTGTTTCAGACAGAGATGGGCAAAAGCAGGCCTAACATAAAATGAAGAAGCCTGGAAGAACTGTAGTCACCATTAAAGTCTTTACAGTTGCTGTTGGCAGATAGCTAATATTAATACAGTATTTTCAGTACTAACTATTAAGTGGCATTGATCAGGGAAAAGGTAAAAATGTAAATGTTTTGATGCCACTCACCATATGGCATCATTGCTGTAATAGTCTACTTGCAGAATAATAAAGTATACTTTACAGGGCAAATTCCAGACCCAGTGAAGTCAACAGCAGTCAGACTGTGTGTGTATATATTTCAGAAAAGTCAAAATTACACTTACCGGTAATTTTTTCATGGAATCATAGAATATTAGGGTTGGAAGGGACCTCAGAAGGTCATCTAGTCCAACCCCCTGCTCAAAGCAGGACCAGTCCCCAACTAAATCATCCTAGCCAGGGCTTTGTCAAGCCTGACCTTAAAAACCTCTAAGGAAGGAGATTCCACCACCTCCCTAGGTAACCCATTCCAATGCTTCACCAACCTCCTAGTGAAAAAGTTTTTCCTAATATCCAACCTGAACCTCCCGCACTGCAACTTGAGACCATTACTCCTTGTTCTGTCATCTGGTACCACTGAGAATAGTCTAG